AAAACCCGAGGAGAAAGAGGAAGCGAAGACAAGGTGGGAAACAAGGTAGTGAATGGGGAATGACCATCAAGGATAGACGTGGGCATCCGATTAATCAAGAAGTAAGAAGTAAGCACCACATCACTCCAAAAGGGTTTGGGAACATTCATGTGATGCATGAGGGAACGTGTTGTTTCCAAAAGATGATGATTCTTTCTCTCAGCCACCCCATTTTTTTGTGAGGTGTAGGTACATGAGGTCTGATGTATAATGCCATGTTGGTCCAAGTATTCTTGAAATGATGAAGATAAATATTCACGGCCATTATTAGAACGAAAAATTTTAATGTGAACACCAAATTGATTGTGAATCTCAGCATAAAAATTTTGGAAGATGGTAAACAATTCACTTCTTTCTTTCATTAMATARAGMCAYGYYATCCTTGAAAAATCATCAACAAAAATGACAAAATATCTATATCCATTGTATGACATCACTTTATAAGGACCCCAAACATCGGAATGAACCAAAGAAAAAGGACTCGGCACACGGTTATCAACCCTAGGACTAAAGGGAACACAATGATGTTTCCCCAACTGACACGACTCACAGTCTAAAACAGAAAGTTGACTCAACAAAGGAACCAATGATTTCAAAACTTTCAGTGAAGGATGACCAAATCGAAAGTGCCACTGGAGAGGAGAGAGAGATGACTGGAGAGCTGTTGATGTTCTTCCACCACCGTCAAGATAATACAATCCACCGTCTTCATGCCCTCCACCAATCTTCATCCCCGTCTTGAGATCTTGAAAAACACACTTAGAAGGGTAAAAAGTAATAGAGCAATTGAGTGACTTGGTCAACTTACTAACAGACATAAGGTTAAACAGAAATTTAAGGACATACAAAACTGAGGATAAAGATAAGGGCGTCAAGTTAACATTGCCAACACCACAAATCGAGGATGTAGAACCATTACCAAGGGTAACAAATTGTGATGTTGAGCAATGAGAGAGGGAAGAAAACACACTTGGAGTTCCAATCATGTGATTGGAGGCTCCAGAGTCAATAATCTAGGGATTGGGTGTGGATGCCAAACAAACCATACCTGAGTGTGCGAAAGTAGCCATGTTCTGCTGGGATGTGGATTGGAAAAACCTCTCATACTCATCACGGAGAACACTCACCATCTCTTTCCCGGGAACATCTGTGGATGTAGAAGGCATCTGATCAGCTGAACGATTATCCTGTCTGAAACTGGTGTCACTAGTCAAGGCATGATTAGACCAAGTTGAGGGTGGATCATGCAAGTCATAACAATAATTAATGGTATGTTCATCCATACCACAATGAGTACATCTCCTCGGACCCGAGCCACGTCCTTTGCCACGGGCTCCCCCTGAATCTCTACCTTCAGTACGACCACCACCACGGTTATATGTAGGTCCACCACCACCACTTCGGCCATATACCGGACCACTGCTACCACCACGGCCAGACTGAGCTCCTCGAGCTCCACCTCTAACACCACGGCCCCTTGACACTGCAAAGACTGATCTATCAGAGACATTAGAGTTCTCAGTATATCCAATGGAAGTCCTCCGAAGTTGAGCAAACACCTCTTCTAAG